GGGAGGAGGAGGAGGAGAATTAATTATAATATCAAGAAGAAACATAATATGAAAAATAAGACGAAGAGTAATACTAATAATACTAATAACACTAATACTAATACTAATCATAATACTAATACTAATACTGATAATACTAAGTATATTGATACTGATAAGAATAATACTAATAATAATACTAATATTAACAATAATGATAATACTAATAATAATACTAATACTAATAATAAGAATCAGCATACTAATAATACGAATAATAATAATCATATTAATAATAATAATACTAATAATAATAACAATAATACTAATAATAATAATAATAATACTAATAAACATAAGAAGACTTAGACGAAGAAGACGACGACGACGAAGAAGAAGAAGAAGAGTAGGAGGAGGAGGAGGGGGAGGAGGAGGAAGAGGATGAATTCGCTCGAATTCGCTGGTATCCACAGTGGCAGGAGGAGTTGGAGGAGGAGGAGGAGGGGGAGAAGGAGGAGGAGGAGGAGGAGGAGGAGGAGGGGGAGGAGGTGGGGGAGGGGGAGCGGGAGGGGGAGGGGGAGGAGGAGGAGGAGGAGGAGGAGGAGGAGGAGGAGGAGGAGGAGGCGGCGGAGTAGGCGGAGGAGGAGGTGACGGCGAATGAGAGTGTGGAAGGGGGAGGAAGAGGCTGGTGGCAGGGGGGGCTGCTCCCCAGCCCGCGTGGGTCCGCGCCCAGAGGAGTGGCAGCTGGAGGAGCTCGGGGCGCAGCTGCTGAACACCTCCAACCAGGCGGGCCGCCGCGATGCCATGGGCCAAACCAGGGAAGGCGGGGAAGGCGGGGGGGACCTGGGGGCGAGGGGACCATGTGGATAATCCTCAGAAAATGAACTCGCCCAATGTGGGTGCACCGGCCTCAGCTCATTAGCCCCAACGTGTGCTTGTCCATCGAGTCCTTTCGACACGACGCAGGCGATGTAATGATCCACTGGTTGGGCGGAAGGGGGTAAACACACATTGGGCTAACACACGTCCTGAGGATCATCGACCAGCTGCTCCGACATCGTGCAGCTTGTGTCGGCCCTCATTGCACAGCCTGCGTCGTATTGAAGGGTTTCGGTGGATAAGCACACGTTGGCGCCAACACACGTTTTCATAATCAGATCATCGAGGAGGGCCAGCCAGGGGCAGCAGGGGGTGCGGTCAACCCGCATGGAAAGGATAGGCAACCTTCCCAAGGGTACCCTTGCATCCTTGCCTCCTCGGTCCATCCTGCGCCGCTTTCGCTGGCCGCGCCCCGCTCGGAAAGCTTCGAAATGGGCGTCCAAGGCCCTTGCATCCTTATCGCGCATCCTTACTAGACTGGTTGACTCTAGGAGGGGCAGCAGGGGGAGCGGAGGAGGGCCCGGCTCCTCACACGCACTCCGCGGGCCGTTGCCTTTCCCTCCCGTGCCCGCCCTCCCGAGTCGCGGCGTGAAGCAGGCGCACCCCTGGCGCGCAGGGCGGGCCGGTTCTGCTCCGTGGGCCCAGCGCGCCGTGCGCTCTTGGGCGGTGCGGCCTGAGCGCCAGGTGCGCCCAGGCTTGCGTGGTGCGCCAGCGCCTGGGTCACAGCGTGCAGGGCGGGAGGAAGTTGGCGTGCACTCCAGGAATTTTGCGTAATGTTGTCTTCTCTCCTCCGCTTCTTTTCCTCCCAACGCGAATCTGCGTTGCAGTGTGAGAATCCTTCGGCGGCCGTCAACGGTTGTCGTGCCAACGCGTCCTGCTGGATGTACGGCCTGTGTGTGTTTGTCCAGGTTGGCCCTCCACTCTGCCCCCACCCCGGGGGAGAGGCGCAGAGGGGGGGGGTGGGGCAGGGTGAGGGGGCAGAGGAGGATCGAGGAATCGAAAACATGGACTGAGGCGCGTGGATAGCTCGACGGGTCCCACTTCCGCACGAGATCGACGTACTCCGTCGCCAAGGCGGGCGATACTGGCTTCACGGTTCGCGGGGTACCTTCTCAGATCAGTTGATCCGGTATCCGTGTGAGCGTGCGCCTGAGAGACCGAGGAGGAGGAGGAGGAGGAGGAGGAGGAGGAGGAGGAGAAGGAGGAGGAGGAGGAGGAGTTGGAGGAGGAAGAGGAGGAGGACGAAGAGGATGCGGAGGAGGAGTTGGAGGAGGAGGAGGAGGAGGAGGAGGAGGAGGATGAGGAGGCAGGAGGAGGGAGAGGGAGGGGGAAGGGGGAGGGGGAGGGGGAGCGGGGAAGCGGAGGAGGAGGAGGAGGAGGAGGAGGAGGAGGAGGAGGAGGAGGAGGGTGGAGGCGTTGGTTCGCCGGGGCACGCTGCAGATGGGCCCCGCTCTCGCCGATCAGGTGCAGCTGCTCGAGTCCCGCTCGCGGCTGCTCTCCTCCCGCCAGGCTGACAACCAGGGCGCCATCGAGGAGCTGCGGGTGCGCAGCGCCCCTCCGCGCCGCCGCCGAGGGGCGCACTCTCTCCTGCCCCTGCCCCTCCCCCTCCGCCTCCTGCTTGGCCTCCTCCTCCCTGCTCGTCCTCGCCGGCTCCCCTTCGTCCTGCCCTCTCTCCCCGGCGCCGGCCTCGTCCTCGCCGCCTTGAAGCTCCCTCTCCCTGCGCCGCCTCGTGTCCCTCGCCGCTCCCTCGCTCGCTCCGCCTCTCCCTCGCACGCGCTCGCCTCCCGGGGCCAGGGCGCTGCTCTTGCAGGCACTCTGGCTGCCGCCCCGTGCTTTCGAGGTGGGCAGGACTCTCTCAGGAGCACCTCACCCACGCTCGGGGGCAGCGGCAGGCATGTGGGGGGTCCGAGGTGTGCGGTTTTGGGGAGGTTTCGTCGGTTCCTGGCGGTGCTCTGGCCTCGGGATGCTCTCCAGCACTTGCGCCTCGCCGAGAGCCTTCCGGGGGGGCCTGGGTCGTCTCGAACGGCCGCCCGAGAGCCGAGTTCAGGCCCAGAAGCCATTGGGGGCAGCGCTGGTGGGGGCAGCGTTAGCCAGGGGGGGCCTCTTACAGCGGGGACGCGCGTCAAGGATCCAAATGCTGTTCGTCAGGGTGCCCTGGGGTTCCTCGCTCCGCGCGCTGCGCGGTGACCTCCCGCGGCCGTGCAGGAAGCTCAGAGGGGAGTGCATCGACGCCAGCTGCCCACTCATCGCCGATGGGGGCCCAGTGCATCGCTCCGCGCAGGGCCGTGCGGTGTCGCGCCCGAGCAGGAGGAGGACGGCGTCCCAGAGGCGGCGTCCCCGAACTCTGCAACCCAGGCTGCGGTGGGAAGGGCCGTGGCTTGTCGTTTTCTTGGTTCCATAAAGTCTCGCTTGTCCCTCTACAGGAGGAATATTCAAAAAGAATTAATTATAGTCTGGGGACGATGTTTTGACTATTCTTGAGTATGTTTGAGTATTTTTGGGGTATCTTTCATTTTTCGTGCAAAATCCGCCTGTAGGAGGACATGCCCGACCTAAGGTTACTACTTATGTGTCCTTGTGGCGATGCTTCCATACGTCCATACCCTTGTGCACGCACATCCTCTTATTCACTTTGGCTGGATCAGGAGGGCCCCAGAAGGGACAAAGCGACAGCCCGATGCTTACAGGCAGAACTGTATCCGCGTGCTCTCATTGTCCAGCCCGATCGCCTTACCCTGAGATCCGACGCCGCCAACACAAATGCTGCACCGCGAACAAAAATCACGGCCAGAGCCCCAGACCCCATCTTTTTGCTGTATCTCTCAAGCCGGATCAATCCGTGAGGGCCCCCTGGGCCTAAGAGTGGGCGGCCACGCCCGCTGTGAAAAGGTGCGACGCCAGGTTCTCAGGGTGACATGGTCTCGAGGAGCTTCTAATTCCATGAACATAAACTGTCGGATGTCCGCGCGGACGCGGCACCAGAGGTCGCGACCCTCTCCCCAGGTTGCGCCCCGGATTCGCCTTGGATGGTCGAAGTCGAAGGAGTTCCCCCGATAACGGGCCTGGGAGGCCGAAGTCGAAGACATTCGCCCGGACTGAACCGAAACATATCGTCGGACACCTGGGTGGGCTGCCACAACCTAAGATTGAACTGGGCCTGTCCCTCTACAGGGGGAGTAGTCAGAAGAGTCAGAAAATAGTTTGGGGACGACCATGCGAGTATGTTGGGAAGTTTTTGGAATATTTGTTGGCTATCTGATGTTGTTCGCCCCGAATCCGCCTCTAGGAGGACATACCCGACCTCAGCCCAAGACGCGAGCGCGCGAGCGAGGCCGAAACGAGGCCCGGCGGAACGCCCCGCGTGTGCTCCAGGGCCGGCGCTCGGAGCGCGGCCGAAGGGGCCTCTCCGCGCCCGCTTGGCGTGCAGGGGCTCCCTTGGCGCACGCGACGGGCCCGGTGCGTCAGCATCGCGTAACGGAGGGTTTCTCCGAAGGGCTCAGGCGACCCCTCCTCCTCCTCCTCCTCCTCCTACTCCTCCTTCTCCTCCTCCTCCTCCTCCTCCTCCATCTCCTCCTCCTCCGTAGCCATTTTTGGCTCAGGGCTTTCTCGCGGGACGCTCGGACATACGGCTTTCTGATACTCATTTTGTATCGCAGGCGGGCCCGGGATGGAGGCCATCCTCGCTCGGCTGCCTGAATTGCCAGTGGCGCCAAAGCGGTGGCGACAGCAGCTGCTGCTGCGGCACGTGGAGCTGCTCAAGGAGTTGCCCAATGTGCAGATGGTGCTGTTCCCAATAGAGCGTTTCTTTATGTTCGGCGATGACGGGCGTCATGGGGGGGGGAGGCGGGGAAGGGGGTATGACGTAACGCCCCCCCCCCCCCGCCGTGTGGTTTCGGCACCACAGCCGCGCCCGCGCGCACGACGCGACGAACGACGAGCGACGAGCGACGACGACGACGACGACGACGACGACGAGGAGACGACGCGAGCAAAATGTAGGTGGCGATATGCCCCACTGCGCCTGTGTACATATCGCTCGCGTGCACCACAACGCGCGCGAACACCATAACACCTGCGTTCACCGCAAGAACCGTGTGCATCGCAGCGCTTGTGTACACCACAGTGCTTGCGTACACCACAGCGCCGGTTTACATGTGTACACCGCAGCAACCATGTGCAACAGAGCGCCTGAGTACACCACAGTGCCTGCGTGCACCGCAGCGCCTGTGCACGCCACAGCGCCTGTCTACACCACAGCATCCGCGTGCAACGCAGCGCGACTGTACACCAGTGCCTGCGTGCAGGACAGTGCTGATAATCGAATGTGATGTTCTTCCCTCTTCCCTCCTCCTCCACCTCCACCTCCACATCCTCCTCCTCGTCGTCCTCCTCCTCCTCCTGCTCCTCCTCCTCCTGCTCCTCCTCCTTACCCCCTGTCGTGCGGGGTGGCGCTACAGCGCACGTGCGCAATTCAGCGCGCAGTGCGCCGCATAATGGTCAATTGAATCGGTTCACTTGGTTCTCGCACGGCCAATTTACCTGGAGCCTCCTGGACGCAGATGGCAGAAGTCAGAGTGATGCGGGCGGACTCGGGAGAACTCGCAGATTCCAGCGGCGCTCTTTTGGCCATAAGGGTTTCTTTGTATTGTTTTCGGTGGAATCTACAAGCGTTCAATTTTGTCATACGGATTCCTTATAACATTCGATATGCAACTGTGGCGCTGTGTTGCACACGGACGTTGTGGTGCACGGGCGCAGTGGTGCACACAGGCACTGCAATGCACGCAGGCATTATGGTGTACATCGGTGCTGCGTTGCACACGGCTGATGTGGTGTACGCATGCGCTGCGGTGTACACAACAGCTGTTGTGCCCGCGAGCACGGTGGCACAAACTGACGCTTTGTTGCACGCGGGTGCCGCGGTGTACATAGGCGGCGTGGTGCACACAGGCACTGTGGTGCACACAGGCATTGTGGTGTACACAGGCGTTGTGGTGCAGATCGCCACGTACATCCTGGTGCTACCCGTCCTCCGTCATTCCTAGGCATTCCCAAACGCCGCCGGCGCGAAACATGATGTCATCGACCCCCTCCACACCCTCTCAGATGATTGCCGTGATCGGCCCGGAACAAAAAACAGACTCCAGCCGCGTCCGTGCGTACGACTACGATGAGCGACGAGCCACGAGCGATGACGACGACGACGACGACGACGACGACGACGACGACGACGACGACGACTGCGGCCAGAATCCTATGCGGATCCTTACGCGGACACCTGCGCGGCTCCCAGCGCGCACGGCGGCAGTGCCCAGAGCGCACTGGGGAGGGAGCGTTACGTCATGGGGGGGTGGGGGCGGGGGCCATGACGCCCGTCATGCCCCAAGCAATAAAGAAATGGTTTCCAATGCGGCTCCGACGCAGACTTCGTTGATCGTGGACCTCGAGAGCGCCTTCCGCACGATGGGCTCGGAGGCGGGTCTTGCGGAGAAGCCTACCATTGCCAAGGCAGAGCGAGTTCCGTATGCTCGGACCTCGTGGCAAGGCTCTGGCCAGCAAGGTGGGGAGGCTGAGCAAGGACGAGCCGACGAGTCCAATTTCTCCGACGATGGAGAGTACCAGAGCAAGCGGCGCAAGCTTGTAGGCATCGTCAACCCCAGCATGATAAAGGCAGCGGAGAGCTACTGCTACAACATGCGCAATACCCTGCAAGACTTGCCGCTGCAGGACACGTTCGAATCCAACGATTTGGACACCATTAAGAAGGCGGTGCGAGACACCCTGCATTGGATTGGCTTGCCCGAGGCCGTTGACGCGGTCGCTCTCGTGCGCAAGCACAAGGAACTGGAGAGCATCGTGAACCCCATCTTTGACAAGGTATGGAAGGCGCAGAGCAAGCAGAAGGAACTGGAAGGCATCGTCGTCCTTGTGGCGAACCGTGCGCCCCAGACCCCTGGCTGCGCCAAGATTTCGGCCAATGTGGCGATGGTGCAGGCCGGTGCTGTGTCCGACCCCGATGCCGACGAGAAGCGCGAGCGCACAGACATCATCTGCCACAGCTGGATGAGACCCAGTAGCGAGGCGGGGCGAGGCACGGTGCTCGCCTATGACATCTACGAACTGCGGAACATTGCTCAGCATGTTTAGAACAAGCCGTTCTGAGCCCTGCTGCGAGCGTTCCTGGTTGTTGGATTCGCCTCGGAATGTTTCGTGGCCCGCCTGGGCTTCTTTGGGGCCCTGGCTTGCAGTCGGTCCCGCTCCTGGGGTTCGGGGCTTCGGTTGGGCCGCCCACGCGGGGGCGGGGCGTGCACCGTCCGCAACCCCTCGGGGTTGAGGAAGGGGCACGTTCCTGTCGGTGCCCTGTCTTGGGTCCTCGTCGCCGCGTGCTGGACCGCGGGGCCGCCGACGTTGGACGCGTCGATACGCTTCCTCGATTCCTCGCTTGCGGTGAGGCTCCGTATTTTATGTTCGACAGCGCCCGTCCGGGGCCCTGCGCCTTTGGAGCTGGGGGGTAGGTATCTCTGCCCACCCTTCGGCGGTCC